AAGACAAGTCGGAGTAGAAAGTGTTCCTTGTGGTTAGAGACAGGGGACAGGAGTGAGAGGACTATGGTATCACCTGCTTGGCAGTGACAGCTGAAGAGCTTTTAAAACCGTTTGCATCAAAAATAAAATGCAGAACCTAATATATAAGACTTATTTTCCTACGGGTTTGTATTCACCATAACTCACAGTTTGTAATGTGTGTTGACAGAGAACTGAAGCAAAATATAAATGCATCCTCTCTCTCAAAGAACACACTGAAGATAATCACTCACACCTTCTGAGCTCCTCTGAATGCCCAAATAACACTCTTACATGTGTATTCATGAAGACTAAATACTGCCTTTAGGTAAGCCAGAGCTTCTCTCAGGGCTCTGTACCCTTTCCCAGAGAAGAAAGTGACTGTGACCACAAACTTAAGAAAGTGGCTCAAAATGAGTGGTTCCTTTGAAGCCTTATGGTTTTTGTTTTGCTGTAGTGTGTGTACATTTGCCAGAGAGAGAGAGAAGAGAGGAAGTGAGAAAGCTCCTCCCATGGAGGATGGCCACTCTGGAGTTCCTTATTTCAGGCATGCACACTCATGCAGCCAGTGTGTTTTTCAAGCTGCTGGGTCCAGGAAGCAAACCACGTAGTCAGTCATGTGCCTTGTTTCCTTACCCAGCACACCATGGGCTGGCCCATGTAGCAATATGTTTTATCTTGAAAAAAATACATGTGAGTGTTGTATTTTATGGCATAACATATCTAAGTTTATTTTATTATAAAAGCGTGTCAAAATGCTCTAAATACTCTATGTTCATATCTAAAAGTATTGAAAGAATAAGTACAACGTGTAAATATGTTCATATCTAAAAGTATTGAAAGAATAAGTATAATTTGTAAATAATATAAATCTATGGTCCTAATGAAATCACATCACATGTGATTCGGTCCCAGACCTGTGTTATGTTTAAAGAAACACAGTGTAAAGTCATATACCAAAAAACCATCAAAAAGGAATTCTGTACCTGTTTCTTTTGAAGAATATGTTTTTTAAAATGTTATCAGAGGGTACGTGCGCTCGCCAGAGAGAGACCGAGATAGAGGGAGAGGGAGAAAGCACCCACAATGGGGTGTGCTCATGCCACAATCCATTCTCTACCATTTCTCCACTTCATTGGGGTTCGGGGCACACACACCCATCATGTCTTTCAAGTTGCTAGGGCTGGGATTCAAACTACACAGGTGGCCATATGGGATCTAGCTTCCTTAACCACTAGACCACAGGGCTGGCCTTCTTCTTAAGGATATTTAAAAAGACCTAATTCATAACTCCACTCAGCTGTACTTCTTGTAATTCCCTTTTCTTTCCTCCCCATATTACTCTCTCCAAAACATTATTCGTTACCACAGCATTCTCCCACTGAATCCATATCCCACACAGCTTTTACTCCCACTAAACTCCTTTCTAATCTTTCATGGTGTGGCTCTACTTAACCTTTCACTGATAGACTTTTTCTCTTTCTCCTTTCTGTCCAGTCTCTGATCCCAGAAAGACGCAAGAACAAAATGAGGCTGGGGTGAAGTTTTGTGGGTAGAGGAAAATGGGACCAACAATGACAGTTTTCTCATTGGTGGGCAGAGGAGGGAGAGCGTGATCTCTAAACATTCCCATATTAATAATTGGTATTCTGTCACATATAGATGTAAACATAGGAGTATTTTGTTCCATTTTCTGTATTGATTGCAGATCGGTGTCATGTTTTGTTCACATATTACTGGATGTTTGGGGGATAATTAGATATTGTACCTACAAGCTGACACTCATTCCATACCTTATTTATAAATGTTTCATAAATGTATTAATAGTAGTAGGATATATTTTAACCCAAAACTGTACTTCTTAATGTAAGTATAACATTTCGAGAACAAGCCTTTGGAGTCCATGTGAAATTTAAATGTCTATTCTGTTTCTCCAATGGCATATTTTGTGGAAAATGAGAACAAAAGAGATAAATCGTTCTTTTGCTAGCAGTCATTCATTGTGTGTGAACCCATGTACCTGTATGACAAATATTAGTTGGCCTCCTGTTGCATAATTTGAGGAAACTCAAGATCTTTGTGCTGAACAAGTGATACTTTCAAAATGCATACAGTGAAAATCAAGTATTGGAATCTGCTTCATAATCTTTCAGTTAAGTGTGAACCATGAACCGATTGTATCTTATTATGCAAAACAGATGAGACCATATCATTGCTGTTTTTTTTTTAAACCAGGTCCAACATTAATTACTGTGTGTATTTTTTCATGGGTGTTTTATTATACAAAGTATTCATGACCAAATTAAGACAAGCAAATTAGAATCTTCAACTAATAGCATTTATTTCACAGGTGCGTGTATTAGGTGCCTTCTATGTAACAGTCTTTAAGGTAGGTAGGTGCTTTGGGGAGAGAAAACCTATGAAAGATGGCAGGCAAGAAACAAACCCTCAAAAGTCCTAGAAACCTACGAAACTGATAGACCATTCCTACAAAGAATCATACTGCTGAGTAGAAATTGTTACGTGCCTTCAGGGGTAAGAAAAAGTTGTTCAGAGAATCCAAGAAAGCTAAGGAAGAGGAGGCAGCTGACCTTGGCACTGAGTCATATTTGGATGTGCAGAAACTCTAAAGAAGGACATTTCAGGGGAAGGGAATACTAACAAAAGCAGGAGATATTTAGATCTGTATGGCATTATTTGATTGTGCTAGAGGGGAAAGGAGTGATAAAACATGTAGTTGAAAAGATAGGTTAGATCTTCCCATGGGTTAAGGAACTTGTTATTCAGAAAGAAGTAGAGATTGGAGGCAAGGATGGGCAGGCATGTGACATGGGACTCTAGGAGTCTGCCAGGGGAGACAGCAGGCACACTTACAGGCAGCCACAGGAGAATGTTGCATGTCCTGGAGAGAGCAAGATGTTTGTCATGGCCGCGGGACATGGAGAACAAGAGACGCTGTGAGACAAGGCCAGAAAGGGAGGTTGCAGACAAATTCGGAAGGGATCTATATGCCAAGGCAGAGTTTGGTGTTTATCCTATACAGGCAGAAGGAACCAACAGAGGATTTACAAGTAAGGTAACTCTGGGAAGGGTGGAACATAGACTGGCAGAGGTTGGCAAACCTTTGATATAAACAGCCAGAGTGTAAATGTTTTAGACTTTGTGGATACATACAGTCTTTGTCACACATTCTTGTTTTTCCTTTCTTTTTTCCCCAAGTTTATTTCTTCCACGAGAGAGGAGAGAGACAGAAACAGCACTACTAACAGTATTCTCATTCTCAGCCAACCCAAGTCATGTACATGAGCCTGTCACACTCAGGAAAGTCTCTGGATGCAAACCCAGGAACTTTCCTGCATGATCCAGTGTGTTACCACTGCACCACCACCTGGCCCCTCTCTTCTGCATCTTTTTTTCTTTCCATCTTTCTCCATTTCTCCCTTCCTCCCTCTCTTCATTCCTCCTCTCCTTCTTCCTCTTCTTTTTTTTAAACAACCCTTTTAAAGTATAAAAGCATCCTTAGTTTTCAGGCCCTACAGAAGCAGGCTGCAGGCCATCATTGGCCCTCTGACCATGGCTTGCAGTCCCTGTACTAAAGTGGAAAGAGAGTGTCAGGGAAGGTCAGAGCAAGGTGTGGAGCAGAGAGTGGAAGAGAGCCTGGATTGGGGCCACGGTGAGAGAGACGTTGGGGAAGAAGTAAGTGGGATATATCTGAAGTAGAGTGAGTTACTCTCCATGATGGTTTGTGAGAAACTAGGAAGGAAAAAACAAACCAGGTTCATGGATCTGAGCCTCTGGCTTGAGAGACTAGGTAGTGGGGGTTGTGTCACTTAATGCCAAGACTGCGAAGAGTTTTGAGAAAAGGAGATGAAGTCACTTTTGAAACGGCTGAATTTGATATGTCGGTTTCATCCACAGAAAGGGTGCCCCAAGCCAGTGGGCTGTATGGGTCTAGTGTCCAGTCTCTCCCCGTCTAAAATGTGTGCCTTACAAGGAGCCTGTGAGGTCACAGAAATGTCATGAGAGTTTATAGAACAAGAAAGAGCTGGCCTTTGGGAACACAAGCTTGTAGGAATTTGGGATGATTTGGAGAGAATGAGACTGAAGTGAAAAAGAGCAGGTAGGAGGCTCCTGTGATCATCTAGGGAAGAGGAAGTGCGTGTTTCATGTTGAGGAGTGACAGTGGAACAGAAATACGATGACGGATGGGAAAGATATCATGGGACAGAATCACCAGGACTTGGCATTGTGTGCATGGAAGAAGATAGAGGCCTTCTGTGATCGTCAGCCTCAGATTCCAGTGTCAGAGGATGCTACTGCTTCGGTCCTGTTCTTTTCCTTGTTCTTGTTTTAGAAACCTAGCTAAATGACCAAGTGCTCTCAGAGTGCATAATTGGAATGCTTTTCTACCTCTTCAGTTTTTGTAAAGACCTTCTTACATGGTACAGTAGAATATAGCCATGTTCTGCCTGCAACAGTCTTGGCATATTTTCCACTAGTAGTAAAGGGAAATGTAAATAATAATAATAATAAATAAATAAAAAACAAGAGAGTATCTGAAAAGGTTAAAAAAAATTAAGATTTCAGCACAGTGACACATCTTAACCAAAGGCTTTGAAATTGTGTATGAGCCTAGAATGCCTGCAATCAAGGTAAACTTGCATGTTGCCAGCCCCCCTGTATTTCTGGATATCTAGATCTAAATTCTCTTGTGGTCTTATTTTAGCAGATCTTCCTTAAGCGTGTGAGTGCAAGGAGATACAGTAACTCCGTGCATCTGTCTTCCCAGTGCATTAAGCTGCTGTGTTAAAGTACATACATGACCACCTCTGTCCACATGTGCACTTCACTCTAACACTCACGATGCTTGGCAGATAGATTAGAAAGGGCACAAGACCTATTTTTTTGTCTGTTTGGCAATTAACCATTCACTGGCTTTTTTTGTTGTAACATGCACTTCCTTTCTCTTGTTTTCATTCAAGCTGTATACGCCATGGAAATTAATGTGGAGAAAGACAAACAAACAGGAGAGACCAAGATTCTCTCTACATCTACCATTGGCCCAGAGGGGGTCCATCAGAGAGGAGTCAAAGTCTATGATGATGGTACCAAAGTAGTGTATGAGGTGCACTCAGGAGGCACCATAGTAGAAAACGGAGTGCACAAATTAAGTGCCAAGGATGTAGAAGAGCTTATTCAGAAGGCTGGACAGTCAAGCTTAAGAGGAGGGCACGTGTCAGAAAGGACTGTGATTGCGGATGGGAGCCTCAGCCATCCTAAGGAACACATGCTCTGCAAAGAAGCCAAGTTAGAAATGGTACATAAGTCTAGGAAAGATCATTCTTCTGGGAACCCAGGGCAGCAGGCCCAAACCTCCAGTGCTGAAGGGCCAGAGGCAAACTTGGATCAGCCCGTCACCATGATTTTTATGGGCTACCAAAACATCGAGGATGAAGAGGAGACCAAAAAGGTGCTAGGCTATGATGAAACCATCAAGGCTGAATTGGTCCTCATTGACGAAGACGACGAGAAATCATTGAGGGAGAAGACAGTGACAGACGTGTCCACTATTGACGGGAACGCGGCTGAGCTTGTGTCTGGGAGGCCGGTCTCAGACACCACAGAGCCCTCATCTCCAGAAGGCAAGGAAGAGAGTCTGGCCACAGAGCCAGCCCCAGGTACCCAAAAGAAAAAGCGCTGTCAATGCTGTGTTGTCATGTGACCACTTTTTTCTTCCCTTTTCTTCTGGGCAGCCTCTGTTCTCTCCACCACTTACATAGACCTCACTGTACCACTAACTGCAATACTGTGAACTGGAAGCAAACACCTGCCTTGCCTTGCAGCTGGATTGCTTAGATCTCTCTTATTATTTTTTTTTTTCCTTTTCCTCACCTGAGAGACAACGTGCATGTGTGTGCTTCATTCTTTCCAAGAACTCGCTTTTCCTCTAAACCTTTCCTTGTGTCTTCAAGAGTGAATCGGTTCCTTACTGCTCGATTGGAATGGACTCTTCATATCGGCCAGTTATATAGTAGCCTTAATCCACTTGACTGGAATCAGACTCATGGGCACTGGGGGGTTCATTTTGTAGTGTGTTCCTGTAATGTACTCCCCACACCGCCACGTCCCTGATTTCTCACTTGCCTCCCTTGCTGTGAATCTTTGTTTTTATACAATCTTGTGTAGCAAAATGCTGTTGGCTCTAGCCAGTCGCTAGTGTAGCCAAAAAGTGGACCTTACTTAGTCTGTCCAATCTAGGGTGATGCTTTGTGCTGCCTTACCTAAGCTTCCAGATTACAGTATTGTGCACCTGTGGCTTTCCTTCTGTTAAAACAGAATGAAATTGATGTAAAAGAACCCAGTGCTTGTCACAGCTAAAATGTAACGTAGGGACTGATTCCTTAACCTGCTCGTCAACAGCTGTCTCTCTTTCTATGGCTTAACCGGTGGATCCTTTATATAAGAAGCACCATTTTGAAATTTCTAAGGACACGAAACAAATATTGTTTTAAGCATTAGTAGTGATTGATCTCCAGACTTAGGTAAATCCATGAGCCTTGTTTCTATTCTCTCAAATAATGTAAACTTTTTATATTGTTTTCTTTTTCACGGATATTTTCTGATCATGTTAATCTATTTTCGATGAGGGGATCATTTTGTGAAGTATCTCTGCAGTGACCATGTTTCTAAAACAGTCTTTCTGATCTACCGTGGTTGCCCTTGTGCTTCCACTTCGTCCTGGATGGTGCTGTAACTGCGTTCACTGTTCGTCTCACAGGCCCAGCTGATTACAAAGCCTTGCGTCTGTACTCTTTTCTTTCTGTCTCCATAGGAAAGAAAATGCTTCCAGTAACTTCAACATATGGTTGATTCATCCCCCCGAAAAAAAACAAAAAACAAACAAACAAAAAAACCCTTGTCAATTGTAAGCAATTTTAAATGATGAAGAGAGACCTGTCTTCTTAAAGTGCTTAAATTCATTGGAAAATACCAATTGAGTGGTACAAGGCTGAGCTTCTTAAAGCCTTGTTTCTTAAACTCATAGAGATTCCAGAATATCAAAGAATATTTTTTTATCTAGGCCCAAGGAACAGTTTTTGAAATAAGCTCTCAGCACTCCCCTAAGCAAACAGCCACATTATAGTAAAACCAAAGGAAAGTGATTTAGTAAAATAACAATAACATGGTGCGGAAATAAAGATGGAATATGTTAACTGATTTTAATAAGAAATATCTTAACTTTAAGTTATTTGCCCACATGTTCATAGTCTTGTTGCAAACCATTCACAAAATTGTTTATATTCCTGTAGAACGTAGTTGTGAAAAACACATGACGTATTATATCAAGTCTAACTTTCGAGGAAAGTGGATGAGGAGAAAATAAGATGGTATTGAGAGAATTTTATTACAGAACCAGTTAAATTTGCCCTATTTAGCTTGCTCAGTGCTAAAATCTATTGTTATTAATTTCTTGACTTAAAATTATATGTATTCCAGTGTCAGCCTGTGGTGGGGTGAGTAGAACATCTAGATCCCACATGGCTCCAGTTCAAGTCCTGGACCCGGCAGCTTGAGAAACATGCTGGGTGTGTGTGTATTGTGTGTGTGTGTGCGTGTGTGCCCAAAATCTGGAAAAG